GGCAGAACAGTAGAGTAAACCTTTGATGGGATTTATTAGTTTGTTTTGAAGTTTTCAGAGCTGGCTAATAGTAGAGTATACCTTTTGTTTGTGGAAGACAGCCCCCCTTCCTGTAATATGTTATATAATATGTTATATATTAATATATTATAAAAAAAAAGCCAAAGCCACACCCCAGCTCATGGTTTACATTCATTTATTGCTCATGACAAACTCCACAGAAGGCCTCTTTCACTTTCATCCTTATTTTCGGATCATAGTACAGTGGGCGGTTCTTGCTCTTCATGGTCCTGTACACTGCTTATTGCTTTGGCAAAAAACAAGGCTCAGTTATCTTGAATCACCCGTCATCTCAATTTCTCATGATTTGATTGTGTTTTCATGGAAAATAATAACTGATTGTAGACACTAATAGCAGCAAAAAAAACTTTGTATTAACCAAGGAGCAACCTTCAGTCCTGAGTGATAGTCATGTGGAAGTGCTAAAACCTGCAGTCTCCTGAGTGCCCACTTGAGGCACCAGGAAACACATACACACTAATCCAGAAAAGTCTGTTTTGTTGAGCAAAAATAAACACATTTAAAGCCTGGTTCAAAATACAGTTTTAGCTGACCTGACCTCTCATTTTGGACAAACGGCGTAAGAGCCCAAGGACATTGATATACTGTAGGTAGCACTTTTATCTTGAGATCACTCTGTGTGCTTTTACAATACATATTATTTTCATGTACAGACACTACATTAGAGACTGCTATGTGAGGTTCTCCTCATTATTATCTCATGCACATATATTCACTTTATTCACTCTGTCCTGGGAATCATGGGTTCAGTGTCTTGTTGGACCTGAGATCAAACTGCAGCTCTTTCAGTTGACCGACTTGACCATTTCTGCCACGGCCGCTTACCAGAAGTCATTTTTACAAGGATTTCTAGATTTACTATGTCGAGCTTTAGTATTTCACTCATTTTTGAAGTGCAGTCTGAAAGTGATGCTGAACTGCAAGTCTCTGACAGCTTATGCATCAGAAACACTTTCAGCTGTTTTTAATCTCTTCTGTCCTCATTAGTTTTTTGTTATATTCCCAGTGCATGAAGCCTCCAATAACATCGAGCAGATCGCAGATCAGAGTTACGCCGACAGCCTTGATGCTGACCTTAACTCACTAGAGAGTTGATGCAAATGAGTCTTTTGTCACATTGTTGGAGAGATATGCTAATCGAGTTTCAGGCCTTGAGTCATACACTGTATGCTGGGGGATACAGTTTTAACAGCCTCAGTGGGGTATTGTTCTACAAATAGGGGAAAAAAAGCCTGAAGGGTTGAATGAAATGATAATGTAGTTTGAAAAACAATAAATTGTCTCTGAATCAATTTTTAACACTTTCAGACAAAGTTTGATTGACTTACCTCTCTAGAATGTTTAAATACAAGGAATAGAGACAAGTAAGGTGGTTTTAAACAAATAAAAAGTATGATTTAAGATAAAACTTGATGAGAAAAATTTACATGACTGTGACATATTTTAAACTATCCGTTTATGTTCTCCTGTGGTAGGTTTTAGCTGATAAGATGCTACAAAAGGAATTACATTATTCATGTTTGTTCAGTCAAGACAATCACACTGTCACATCTGTCATCTTTTGGCTGAATTATATTTCATCCAGGAGTGAGTTTGTCATTGCCTCCTGGTGGTAAGAAATTAGCATTTTACAGGGTTTTTTGCCCCAATCATCCATGTCACCTATAAGGTCTTGCAGTTATACAGCTCTTGACAGACTGACATTTACTGTAGTGATTGACATTTGGTCTTCAGCATTTGTAAATCTTAGCACGGTGTTGTTTTCAAGAGCTCATTAACATATCTTTCCCCTCTGACTTTAATTAGGGATACGTTGCCACCTGACCCTCGTCTCAGATTTCTGGAATATATAACACAGCAGAGAGCAGCACTCAATCGGGGAATTACTGGTGCTCCCATGTCATATTGACCTGTCAGCATCAACAGGCATAAATGAGTCTGTTGTTATTCATTATTTACTATACATTAGACTCTTATATTCCCAGCAGGATGCTCATCACTGCACATGGATGGCAGCAAACCAATCAGCAAGATCTCCTCCAAGAAATTGTTGTTTGAATTGTCCCTATGTATCTTTAAAAAAAAAAAGAGTATTCAGTGCCTGACTGAATCCCTCCTGGACATCATCATATTAATATTTCATAGTGTGGCTGACCTTATAGTGTGAACTCTTGGGGCTCACAGAAAGATACATGTTGGCATGCTATTGGCATTCATGCATCATAGCACAACAACCACTTCAAAACCACAGAAAGGACTCATAAAAAAACACGTCTTTTTTTCCTCATGTTATCTAGGCTGTTAACTTTGTAGAAAGTGCAGGAATGAGCTCAAATGTGCAAGTCTATTGACCCCAGATATAGTGATGGCCAATAGGCTACAATGGTAAGGGCCAATACAAAAACAGAAGGTATATGTGTAGGCCTAGTTCTTGTTAAACATAAGACATTTTTCAACTTACCCATTAAACCCTACTTTTCTGACTTCACTGATTTTAGTTTGCTGTGTCCAGAGCTAAATGTTAATACTAACACTAACATAAGCAACATGAACATGTTGTGTTTGTGTCTGTGAATGTGCCATGAACAGCTTAGTGCCTTTATTCACTTGCGTAGTTATCACCAATCTTCTGCCCTTTGGACCCCTTCTCCATCAGATAAAAGGACTGTAATGATGACATAATACGTCTTCTAAAAACCAGTCAACTAGTCTGGGCAAAACACTCACTGTGTCAGCTGAGAGCTGTACCCATCATATTCACCAGATCTTAGCAAGCTGACATGGCTCTCTTCTCTTTTTCACAGCTCCACAACCTCCACTCTGGTTCATACCTCATGCTGAGAATGTTGAGCGACAGTTGTTTGCCCCTTAGACTTCTTGTTATTTCATATGGGTTGTTTACTCCACTTTGTGCTACTGTGCAGCAGGGAGCAGCCCGGCAGCTGTCCAACAGCAGACCCATGCCTCCAAGTCAAACAAACATTTACCATCTCAAAATCAACACCACTTCCTCTGAGGTGCGATGGTCACTGGTGGCGACCTTGCTCTGGGGGATGTGAGGGGGAGATTTTGGAGGGATGTCAGGTTTCCAGAAGATTCTGTGCCTCACAGGCAAGGTTATCATGACTTTTTTCTACTCTGCTGCTAAAGCTATTACAGAAGGCTATTTTTAGCATCAAGTTGATATTTGACGTAAAAATTTTGGTGGAAATATGCTTGCTGTCTCACTAGGCAAAAGTTCAAGTATAAGAATAACATCAGTTTTGTGCTGGTGAACAGGCCACAATAAGAATGTAGAGCTGGCAAAAAGCTAGCTGGTGTTTGTCCATAAGAATGACTGTCTTCAGGTGCTTATTCATTTGCACCTTACATTATGCCAATACTACATATTTCTCTTGTACTTGGGTCTGTAAAAACCCTAGTTTCAGTATTATTTAATCTTCGTCAAAAGCACTTAATTTTAGCTAGTTTTCCACTGAAATAAAGTAAAACACAGCTTGTGGGTCTTGGGACTAGGAACAAAGGCAATGCCCTTACAGAAAATGTCTGATGCCAGCTGTTGGAACCGGTGGCAGCTGGTGAGGTTTTCTTGTTGCTGTAAAAAGTAGTGAACTTGCAGCCACTGAACAACTAATTGGTCATGATCTCCTGGTCCAGGGCACAAACATTTGCTTAAACCAGCTACTATTTCTTTGCTTGAGAAGACGGCATGCGCATGTGCAACTTAAGAACAGGAGCCAACGGAGGCCTGGGAATGGAAACACGTGACTAACCAGTGAGACACCTAGAAAACTCCAAATCTAAATTTTAACTGCAGTTTATTCGTTTCATCCAGTTGGTAAAAGTGTTACCCACATTTTTATTTCTTAACCTCCATGTGACTTACGTATTATTCAGTAATAGTTTGCCATTTTCCTTGTCAAGAGTGGTGGTGCAGCGTTCCAGCACCTCCTATTGACCTGCTGCCACTGGTTGGTACCATAGACCGTGATTGGAACTGTAGACTGTCACACATATGTTTGTTTTTTTGTTGTTTTGATTTTTGTTTTGTTTTGTTTTGTTTGTTGTTTTTGTTTTGATTTTTTTTGTTTTGTTTGTTTGTTTTGTTTTTATCTGTTTTGTTTGTTTGTTTGTTTGTTTGTTTGTTTAGCTTTTTTGTTTGTTTGTTTGTTTAGCTTTTTTGTTTTGTTTTGTTTTGTTTTGTTTTGTTTTGTTTTGGGTTTTTTTGTTTTGTTTTGTGGGCATAATGGCGCCCAGGCATAGTTTTCTTCTCGCACAACTATTGAGGTATCTCTTAGTTTTTTAGATAGGGTGAAATTAAACTAATTACACCCTTAAACAAATCACCTGGAGCTCCGACTTTTCACAAAGAGGGTTTTAACAGCTCCCATGTAATTGTGTTTCCATTCACTGCTTGGCAGTACATTCATGTTTGTAAGCCTTTTTCAGAGCTCATTAGAGCCCTGAACAGACCTCAGGGTGCTTTTCTTTTTTACAAACTGAAAACTGTTAATGATTCTCTTTATAATTCAGTTTCTCTGAGACTGCTTTGACATACTAATATGAAAAGTTTTATTATTTATTTAATTTTTCATCTTCCAAACAACTAAATGATTCCCTCTGTTTCAACTTACTCATGTAAATCAGAATGTGTTTCTCAGTTTTGCAACAGCACTGTCATAGATCATGTTTTTTATAATTTCAAGTATGTCAAAGGTCAGAGTTATCCAAATGTCAATAATCCATCAAAAGAATTAAAGAAGACGCAGCAGACTTTGACCCCCACGGTGTTTTCCATCTGGAGACTTCATGTCCTCCGTCTCCAGACGGACCAATTTCTGAGGTTCCTCAGCTTTGTGCTCATGAGTACCAATCAGATTATATCTCTATTGGCCAATGAAAGCTAGTTTGCTGGGTGTGTTGAGTTGGAGTTTGAACTTTGGACCATAAAAAAAGAGCTGAGCGATACTGTGGGGACTCTTCAGCAAAGGAGACAAAGAAACGCCATAACAAAGCAAATTGGATATTTAAACTGGATCTGTGTGGTCTTGGACGGCGTCAGAGGCAGTTCACTCAAATCATGGAGTCCTATCAAGAACAGGTAAATGAATACAGTCCTTTTTATACTCAAGTTTTTCTGTTTTGGATTACTGGGGAAAAGTTCAAGCAGCAAATTTGGATCATACCTTGAATTCTTAAATATATTTGTCATGTATGGACTCAAATATGAATGTTCTGGACAGACTTAACAATGGGGATGAAAATGGTCACGATCTCTAACAGATACATAGGCAGACTCAGGGAACATATTGTACGGCACAGTGTGTTCATATGCAGCCACGGTGAAAGGTTGGCAGTAAAAAAAAAGCAATCAACTGTGTCAGCAGAAAAGAAAAACATCCATATTTTTGTTTTCTTTGCTTCTACGAGCATGACAGTCACCATATTGTGTTGTGATGAAATGTCATGATCTCATTTCAGGGCTGTGATGGTATCGAACTGCTCGACTGGCTGTTTGATCAAAACGATGGAATTCTCCGCCACGAAGAAACCGAACGCCATGGCAACCACCACACCTGGCCAATTCAGGACCCAAATGTGCGTGACACTGTGGGGTCTCTAATGTCAGACACACAGACTAGGATTGTCTGTTAGCTTTGATGATATGCTCTGGAGGTCTTAACATGAGTTTTGTTTTTCTGGTTGCAGATGCTGCAGCCAGCCGAACAGACAGACGATGACTTCCTCAACGCCATACTGAGTGGCAGTGATTCTGCGACAGGCTCCCCTCTGTGGTCCCCTTCTCCCAGTGACAGTGGAATCAGTGAGGACCCCCCTTCAGATCAGATGGACAGCCCTCTGCGCCCTGATAGCCCCCCAGAGGAGGCACAGTATTTCAGTATGAGGCCGCAAACCAAGGCCGCCCTGGAAGCCAACGTCTCCATTGACCTCAGTAAGTCACTAGTTCCTTAACAAAAAAACAAAAAAAAGTTAATTGTAATAAAAATGTTGCCAGTTTTTGTTTAATACTTGCTCTGATAACATTGTTATCTTATTCTGGTTTCATTAAGTTAAATCGAGTTTCCAGACACAGCCGTGTGCAGACAATAATCTGCCACATTCTTGCAAATGAATCTCTGAATCAAAGCAGACAAAGACAGAAACATTATCACTCTAAGAAAAAGAAGACGTTTGTGTGATGTTACGAAGCTGTTAATCTTTTCTGGTTGTGTAATCAAACTATAGACACTGACATTTCTTATTGATCTTGTTAGCAGTTTATTTATGCTTACTTTTGTGTCTGTGTTTCTGTGTGTCTGCAGATGGTTGGTGCCCCCCCTTCCCGTCTGACAGAACCAGGATCACACAATATCCCTCAAATGTGCAAAGACCACAGCTGTCCTCCGGCTTCCCTCTCACTGTCAAAGATCTGCTTCTGTCTGGCACTCCAGAGCCAGTGAGTGTTTTCCGTCTCTCTTCTGTACTTTGACACAGTCAGGGAAGCAAAATGACAGAATTGAAATGTTTTTAGCTTCTTGTTTTGTCTGCTTGACTCATACACAGGACCTGTTGTTTACCCAGTGCGTGAGAAGGGTGTGTTTGATTTGTGTGAATGTATGATGTCACTTAGAGGGACTCAAACCTGACGTGAGGTCAATTGATTTGGGACGGTTTTTTCAATTGTGGATGACAAAATGGGTAAATGTAAGTGAGATGGCTTGAGAGATAGAATTAATGCATACAAGAGGAATCTGGGAAAAGTGAGGATGACATTCAGCAAAGGGCGGCAGGAATCAAACCTGCCTCAAGGATTATAGCCTCTGTATAAGGAGTACATGATCTAACAGATAAGCCAAACTGGTGCATTGGGTGCTTGTTTTAATATCACAATCTGGTGACTTCACTCGCTGAAATCATTGACTCATCAAGGGGTGAGGTCTTAGGAGTGCTAATTAGTTTCCTGTGTTTGAACTTTTGGTTGCTCTACACACAGTACTCAGTTTAAAAGTGTGATGAGGGGGAGGAAGAGGACTTTTAATGTTCTATTCAGCTGAAGTAGAATTGAGATATTCTCAATAATGAGTTCTCTGCTGATTTAGGTGGAGTTGTTTCTGTACATGAATCCAGCGAGCAGTTTGTATATGGTACCATTTCACATAGTCGTGACTGTTGGAGCAACTCACAGAGGGCTGGATTAAAGACAGCTGCTGATGACGTTATCTTAATCACATGATTTTAGCATTATCACAAGTTATCATGTTAGACACCCAGCAAAATATAGTGGGATTATATATGGAGGAGGGGGGGAAAGGAGTTTACTCAGTTGGAGATATAAGGCGTTGTATCTGCTGAGAGCACCTGGCAGTAGTAAGTAAGTAGTAGTAAGAAAAAGTCAACTTACTTCAAGAGGTGAATATTTTGATTTGCAGTTAGGATTTAATCCAGATATTGAAATGGCCTAACTCCACAAATGCAAAGTTAGATCTTAGCCAATATATCAACACTCCCACACAAAGTGTCTATGATCTCACCAGCATGAAATTTGTTATTCGTGCATTTTTCACAAACTTGAATAGTAAGTAAATATAGTTCAATATTATAGATTACAAAGTATAGAATAAATCTGGCTATTTCAGCCATGTTGTTTTATACGAGGTCCAACTTCCCGTTATTCTTGCACCTCTAGAGGTTTTATCTGCGCATGCACTCAGGAGGCTCATTGTGTCTACAGCCAGGTCCTTCTTCCCATTTGTGATAAACCAGCAGCTGCATTCTAATTTCATTCGCAAATATGTTTTTTTAAAAGATATTTATCAAGCACATATTTTCTGTCATCATTTATTCAGCTTTTTGCAATCACAGCTGGCCCGTAATGATTGGGCCACATTCATCTTCTTGATTAGTTTGCTAGCTAGATAAGGAATGATATTTATGACAGCCTTTTATTAATCACCTGCCAATGAACAAAAAAAGCCATTTAAGAGGTCACTCAGTAAGGGGCAAAAGTACTAATAAACACAATAGCCTCGATCCTCCTCCGTAGTTCTCTGTATAGCTGGTCAATCTTTAAGTTTTTGTGTCACACACAAGGACTTTTTCTCATGAAGTTAAGGTGCGTGTTTTCGGCAAAATGAACAAAATTAAAGTTAGCTGGCTCATAGAGAAGGTGAAGCGCCATAGGTTGCCCCACAGGCCCCCAACATTGTTATATACATGTCATTATTTTTCAGCTGTAGAGCTATTCTACTTACCCTGTGTGGCGACATGGCAACATTGAGGCATTTCATACTGTTCTTTTATTCCTGGCTGCTTCTCAGGAACAGTTTTGTTTGCTGTCATAACTTGAAAAATAATGTGAAACCAGTTCTGTTTTCTTGCTTCTTTACAATATACACCTATAGTAGCCATAAAAAATCCATGGTTTTATGGGCAGAGCTCTTTTTAAAGAGGTGAGGAATAATTAATGTCTGATTGAGAGTTGATTTTTCTATAGCAGACTAATAATCGTACCAAATCATCTTAATGATACTGAGATATAGGAGGTTGTGGATAGGAGGTTGTGAAAAGACTTGGATGGGTCATAGGTCAAGGACTGGGCTCACACATAGAACTACAATAACATGCTCACATTCACAGGCTACATGCATGTTCACAACAGGGTAAATAGTTTCCTTTTTCTCCATTATTCGGTTGTAGGAAAATCCAATTAATTTTTTGAAGACATTATTCCTAAAAGGAGAGGTTATCACACGAGCAGAATAATGTGTTAGTGCTTCTGAAACTTGAGGGTGCTCAGCGGTGAGGATGCAGCAAGCTCAGTATTGATCTCATCTTTGCAGACCAGCTTGGTAAAAACAAAGAAAATTGTGGCGATTGCTTTGTGGTTGATGAAGGTAGCCTTACAGTCTGCACTGATTTAATATCTTCTTGTGGGGCTCTGGGGGAAGAGATGGTTTGATAGAGGAGCAGGAGGTAGATGAGTAGGAGCAGGGACAAAATGTAATCAAACAGCACTTATTACAGCTTTTGTATTAATATTCATATCTCACAAACAGACTCCACACCTGTCCCAGCAGTCTATTCAGGAGCTGATACTCAATGATGATGAGAAGAAGCTTTTAGCAAAGGAGGGGGTGACTCTACCCAGCCAGCTACCTCTAACAAAGGTAAAACGCAATCAATACCGCAACAACTATCAGCTCCAAGATTTCGATCCCTCAAAGGCTCAAAATTAAACTGTTCCCTCCTCTGACGATCAGTATGAAGAAAGGATTCTGAAGAAAATCCGCAGAAAGATTCGCAATAAGCAGTCGGCACAGGAGAGCAGGAAGAAGAAGAAGGAGTATATTGATGGGCTGGAGAGCAGGTAAGACTGATCTCATCCAAAAAAATTAATAAATAAAAAGAGGAAATGATTTTTTCTCAGCACGACTTTGCACATCTGCATCTTAAAATTAACCATTTTTAGCACAAGCTCTTTTTCTAGATTATGTTGTATCATCAGATTATCCTCGAGGCCTGGCAGTCTTAAATTAAATGAGTTATGACAACAGTCACCTTCACTCACACATTATTGCCTCAAATAATGAAGTAATTCTGTTGTAAGAATTTTTACTTCAGTGCTAAAGGGAATACTCGAGCTTTTAAAGTCAAACTCAAGTAGACTTGAGCTCAAGGAACTTGTAACTTCCACCTACTTTATAGCAGGTTTTAAAGTAGTTTGAATACAGTTTTTGGTGTTGTTGTTGTTTCAAATAAAGCATGTTTTTGTTTGTGTGAGCCTCACCTTGTCCGGCCCTCTCTTGTGTGTTGTTTCCTTTAGGATGGCCACCTGCAATGCACACAACCAGGAACTGCAAAGGAAAGTGTCCCAGCTGGAGAAATGCAACATGTGAGAGTTTTCAGAAGGACTTTTAATCCTATTTGTAACTTTTCTTCCAAACAGTGTTTCACAATCTTCTCCTCACTCTTATGTTCCTTCAAAGCTCTGTTTGTAAGGTAACGCATCACCACCTTTTCTTTTTCCTTTCCTATTTGACCATCTGCAGGTCACTGATGGAACAGCTGCGCAGGCTGCAGGCTCTGGTCATGAACACATCCAACAAACCAGCCCAGACAGGGACATGCGTACTGGTATGGATGCCTTAAGTCTCTCTCTCTGTGTCCAGCAGATGAACATATTGCACATTAGCTTCAAAGCTTGATTAGCTATGGAGAAAAGCTGATATAGATATGCGCACAATGAACAAGACAGCAAACGAGGACACATAAATTGTCTGAGGGCTTGCATGTTTTACCAGCGAACGCATTTGAACACAAAAAAAAACAACTTTTGAAAAACAGAATGCTTTTCTCATAAAAATACACAGCAGAACAATAATAACTATTTTCTTATAAGCAATACATCCTGAAAACATATTCCACAGAAGAAATAGTTTGAAGAAATAAACTGACGGCAGGAAATTGAAAAGTCTGACAAAGTTGAACACAGAGGCTTTCTTTGACATTTTTCTTTGACCTATGTGTCAAAAAATGATGTTTTCATCTTCCCTGGGCATCCTTTATTGAACTTTTTTTTGCCTTCCCCTGTTGATGTTTTGTTTTTTCTCACTCGTAGGTACTCTTGCTGTCCTTCTCCCTAATCCTGTTCCCAAGCCTCAAGCCTTTGTCTGACACCAAGGTCAGCCAGGGAGACTTCAGTCCAGTAAGAAGTGAGTAACCTTCAGAAGGAAACAGCTTTGTGAAGCCGCCTGCTGTCTAATCCAGCAGCTCCTTGTCGCTGCTGAGGAGCTTGTTAGAACTGCAGTCTGACCCACTGCTGGAAAGGTCTTCACCCGCAGAGCTTCACAGCCTGCTTCAAATATCGGAGGATTTGATGTCGACTTAAAAATCTAAAGATTAGATGCCACACACAGAGAAAACAGGCCGTCTATCATAATCATGATTACTAAGTTAATGCAATATCAAAAACCTTGAATAATTCACCGTTAGTGACTTCTTTTTGATTTCCCTTTTTACACATAAATCCTCCAAATGTTGCTGTGTTACCTTGCACTGCCTTGAAAAAGGTAATCAATTCTGCACTTTCTCTGAGTGCTAGAGGATTGGAGTCCTTAATGATGAACATTTTGTCCAATTACAAGGACATAACAATGTTGATGTTGGTGGTTGTTGAAAATTAAGGTGCTCTCACCAGCTGAAGTTGTTCTTCATTAGGCGCGTCAGCAGACCTCTGTTGGTGCATGCTCAGCCAACAGTTTACCTCTGCTTGTAGTTTTGATATTTAACCATGGACTATACATAGAATTGACATCGTCTGCCTCCTCGATGGGTGAAGCCACTCTGAGAACAGCGCCCTCTGGTGACAGGCTGCAGTATAGGTCATAAATCTCGCCTCCAGCAAGCCCTATGGAGCTGTGGACAAACTTAAGAAATTTATTACACAGAATATAACTTTTTCTCCCCCCTGGTTCTGATGTTGACATGTAGTTATTGTAAGACTGTTTTGTGCTCAAGTGCTTTTTTTCCGTGAAGCTCCATTTTTAAAAGTTATTAGGGGGTTCATGTTTTCTATGATTGACACTTGATACGGCCTATGGGCGTACAAAGATTGCGTAGCTCACCCGGATGATACACTGTTTAAGCCGAGCGTCACCATAGCAACTTTCAGCGACTCTTCCGCCAAATGCGTACAAAGCTACTGCGCAATGTTGGGTTCAGGAAATGGAGTAAAGTTGCGGAAATCCTGAGAGCTTTTCAGCTTCAAATCTGTATACTGGCGGAAGGCGGAACCAAGTTGTCCATAGTATATCCAGTCCATGTATTTAACACTGGAAGTCTTTTTTTAATGGATTTTGTGGGACACTATAAAGCACAGCTTTTGCTCATTAGGTTAAGTCCATAGTGTCTGCAGCTAGGTCTCTTCACTCAGGGTTGCCAGGTCTGTGTGACAAAGTTAGCACAATGGCCAATCAAACACTGACTGACTGACTGTGCTTCATCTCGGTTAAGGTTAATAGTGTAGACATCTTAGCTGCATAACTGTGTAATCATATAGTGTAAGATATACAGGTTGTCATGTCTGTCTGTCTTTTCTCTGCCTCTTTCCCTCACAGTCCAGTCACGGGCCCTGCAGAACCTTCAGGCCTCCCGGGTGCTGCACGTCATCGAGCCTCCTCTTTCTGCTGAGGAGGAATCAGAACCGCTGCACCGATATTTCCCTGGAGACAGAGGATTAGATGATATTACCGCACTGATGGGGAAGATGGGAGTGAACCAGGACCGGTCTGATTTGGAGTCCATGTCTCTGAACAGCAGCCAGGAAGAAATGAGGGGCAATTTTCACGTGGATCCAATCACTGGTCACATAGCTACTGTGACCTTGGATCCCCAGCGCTCCGCCAGGCTGCGACCACATGCTGATGATATGTAACAGAAAATCATAATTTGTCTCCACCTTCCTCTTCATACTTGGTTTCTCAGGGAATCATCTGAACCTGCTGTTTGCACGGATAGGTAAATTAGCTTTCAACAGCTTCTGTTTTCAATTTAATATATATGAAGTCTTCTTTGTGATACTGTTTTTTTTTTTTATCAAAAATGGATTCTGTTCTTCTCAAGATGAATCTTTTGCCTCTTTTCTTTGATGTTAAAAATATAGTTGAGACTAGTTTTAATTTGAAAGGATTGTTTGTAAAATGTTGAAGGATATTTTGACTGTTTTTTTATTAATTGATTTGATTTGATTTGATTGGTTTTGATTTGTTGTAGATAAATTGCCTCAAATAAAAGTTAAAAAGCCAAATCCGTGGGCTTCATAATTTTATTCTTTGATTGTTTTTAAAGTTTTATTCATTAAAACTTAACTTCCCTCTAAATGTGATCCAATGTCTAGACAAGCTGTTTCTGAAAGGCCAGGTACAGGGAGTTTGATGAGAGCAAACACAGAGAGGTAGACAGACAACTGGGTCAAAGGTTGGTAGATGGCCTCTTATCTCATGACTCAGACTTCAATAACTGACATGTGGATATATTTACTGGTTGCAGGCCAGGAGTAGCTTATTTCGACATCACTTACTGTGTGCGTCTGTCGTGTCAGAGCAAACCACACTGCGAGAGGATGAAAGTGCTCTGGACCTCGCCGCCACTTGGGCCAGAATTACACCTAACATTTGAGGTCTTACGTGTCCAGTTTGACATTTTCAGGCTGCAGTCAGACAGGCCTCACTTCAAAGGAGGATGGGAGATTAAAATCTCTGACAAAGTAAGGCAGTATAGAGACTGATGAACAAGTGCAGAGGAAAAAAACACCACTATAACTAAAATTAAAACTGAGGAACTTTTAGTTTGTGTTGATTTGGCCACCCTTAAAAACAAAGTGACATCTTAATTCTCTAAACAGACATTTTACTGTACAAGTGTATTAATTTTTAAACTATTATGCAGCATTCTTGTTTGTATTAGATAGGACGACCGAAGACAGAAAGGAAATGTGAGGGGAAAGACTGACATACAGCAAAATGCCATGGCCAGCAGTCAAGCCAGCAACAGCTGTGACAAGGACTAACCTCTGTATACTGGGCACACACGAAAACCTCTCAGCCGAACCGGCGTGTTGTATGTTGCACTGTTTGCAAAAATGTCACCCTGCTTTTTCCTGATGGTCACCTCGTTAATCTTCGCCGTGGAAAATGTGACACCAACTCTGCAGCGGCATTTACAGTAAAAAAGAATATAGATAGGTATAGATTTTCTTGCCGATGTTCTCTATTGCTTTTGCAGCTCTGAGACAGCAGTATTATTTCAGTCTGATTCATGACCAGTCAAAAACTCCACACAGGAGCTTTACAGTGAAATTCTTTTGGGTGATGGTACAGCCTGTATAGTGTGCACCCAATATACCAGGCTAGGTCTCCATCTCCGTGTCACATCCAAACTTGTGCAGTTTGCTTCGTTTAATCTGTATTTCCTTCAACAGATCAATGTTTCTTTTGCTGTCGACTTCTGAGGTTATAGGACATTTTTCAAGACCAAAAAAACACACATTTTGTTGTCACTGTTTTTATTCTGTTTATAAATTTGAACTTTTAACCACTTCATCAAAAATGTAAAGTTTTTTTAAATGGGTCAAGGACGATTTTATACAAAGTAAATTGTAAAAACCAACCTAACAGCTTTTTCGCTTTTTTAAACCTCACTTCTTGTTGAGCGGCTGACTCTGTCTTGATAACATTTTCCTGCATGTTTTACCTTATCTATTTTGCTTGTACTGTTGAGCTGTGAACAAATAAGTTCTGTATGTAATAATCTATCTCTTTATTTATTTTCTGTAATACCGCTGACCCAAATAAGTTACAGCTGTTGATCAATAGCTGTAAATAGTCCAACTGCTGTAGTTGAAACAAGGTAAAATCAAGTGTCCCCAACCCAGCATTAAATTCAAATGAGAATTGACTCCTTGCTTTTGCTTTTGTTTGTAATCACTGAAACAGTAGTTGATGTTTCCAGAGGGTCTCATTTGTTTAATCGCCACAAAACCAATTAAAAGTCTATTTCAAAGGCATTAAAAGCTGACTTTGCTTTAGGCTTCTTTACGGTTTCTGTGTATGCTAATTGTAAACTGTAGACTGGTAAAACAAACAAACAATAGAAAAAAACAAAAACAAAAAAAAAAACTAATTTTATTGCAAATGTTTTGATCAGCTTAAACTGTTGTGTAGAGTGGGCATACAATAAACTGGTAATTCATTATGTCTGACTCTGCGTCTCTTAGCTCCTGACCTTTATCTCCCTCTTGTCTTTTGACTTTCTCCTGTTTTTCTTCTAATCAGGTTAAAAGTCTCTTGAACACCGGCACCTTCACTAAACGCTTTGATTAACCAATTCCCCACGGAGCTGGAGAGGTCCCTGCAAAGATAAGCTCCCACTGAGATTGTAACATCATGATGGAAGGACTGAGGGTTTATCAAAGAGAGCCCTTGTGTCCTCTTTTAATCTGCTAAATGGAGTTTTACTTGGGATGGAGGCAATGGTGTTAGTCGTGAGCACTACCAAACTTTTTATTGACAGAATTGTTTGTCTTGTTTCAGGTGAATACAAGGGGAATTGAAAAGCCAACAAACACTCAAGCTTTGAAGCTCACATCTGAATCAAGATTTCACGCCTCAGGGAAGTATTCGAGCAATCAAAATTTTATGTTCCACTGCTTTTGACTTTTTCTTTTAAATTTGTTGTGTCTTTTGTCTGCAGGGGTTACATATTTAAAAAATAAAAGCACTGTTGTGCTGTCTCTTCCAAAAACAGTTTTTTCAACTATATGTCTAAAATAAAATAAAATATGAAAGATAAAGAATCAACTCTACAAACAGAAGTGGTTTGTGGTTTAGCGGCAGATGACGGTCTAGCATGAGTCTGGTTCTGCTCGCGGTTTCTGCCTGTTTTAAGGATGTTTTTTCTTGCAGCTCTAAATTTCTAAATGAAGATGTGATCAGAGTGAGTCTGGTCTTTCAAGATAGGACCCAATCTTCACCCAACTTAGTGTAAGACCTTTGTAAATATAAAGAGTTTGGTCTAGACCACCACTTTTGTGAAGTGCCTTAGATAGCATTTGTTGTGAATTTATGGGCTATATTTAATAAAGATTGTATGATTGGTTGGTTGGTTGGTTGGTTGATTGATTGATCGATCGGTCTGTCTGTCTGTCTGTCTGTCGGTCGGTCGGTCGGTCGGTCGGTCGGTCGGCCGGTCGGGGTGGGTTGGTTGGTTGGTGGGTGGGTGGGTGGGTGGTTGGTTGGTTGGTTGATATCAGTTTATCCAGTCCATCAATTGCTGCTTTTTTATATCATATTTTTTTACTCTAAATGCAGAACTTATACTGCAAACTTTCCACTGCTTCAACCATCTTAGACAAGATTTTTTTTTCTTTTGCAGCATCTGAAACCCGCATTTCAAGGTCCTTTAGAGAAGACCCATTTTAATAATGATTTTTATATTTGATTTTCTCGTCATTACCTTCAAAACAACCAAATTCAGGAATCTGGCTTTTCGGTAATCAAAATAATTACAGTGCACGAAACAGACTGTTCAGCTGAAATGTGTGTGATTAAGGTGCATTTGAACAAAGGTGCTGTGTGTGTGTGTGTGTGTGTGTGTGTGTGTGTGTGTGTGTGTGTGTGTGTGTGTGTGTGTGTGTGTGTGTGTGTGTGTGTGTGTGTGTGTGTGTGTGTGTGAGAGAGAGAGAGAGAGAGAGAGAGAGAGAGAGAGAGAGAGAGAGAGTCAATACACATCCTGTTCACAAACAAACACTGAGCAAACAAATATAGGTTTCATTAACCGGGCACTGTGTTATCCTGGAGCTAGAAGCACCACTTGACACTCAAAACTAACCTTTGGAAAAGCTCTATAAATAGCTGCATCACAGCCTTTGCATAATTCTTCACAAATGGTAAAAGCACAGCATATATTAATTTACCCTCTATCGAGAGGCGTAAGAACATCAGAGAAAATATAATGAGCTCAAGGACAAGCCATAGAGTAGGTCCCCTACCTCATTTCAGTATGAAGTGAGCTTACCAACCTGATTTACCTTCATTTACCTTCACTGATTTTTAGATATTATCCTCAGTGGCAAACAAAGGCAGATGATCTGCATCGGCCAAATTGAGCTATTACCACTTACATCAACAGGGAGTGTTTGTGTTGACGTCTTTCAGTCACAGTTAATGCTTTTGTCAGATGGTGCATGTCGTGCCTTACTGGAAGCATGTTTGGAGTGCAGCCCAGAGCAGCTGGACTTGAAAGACCACAAATCCAGTGACAACTCCCCAAGATCTTGTGCAATTATCAAGATTCCATGAAACAAACAACACAAACAGAATATACAAACAACAGATATGTGTTTCTCTGATTGGTATTATTCCATGACTTTTGTGCTTCTAACATGGGTGAGTATGCTGCTTAATAACAAAGTGTTCTTTTTTTTTTTACGTTTACAACGTTACAGTGTCATTTAGCAGACGCTTTTGTCTAAAGCAATGTACATTTGAGAGAAAGAGCAACACAAGCAAAGATCTAGACAAGAACAGACAAGATCAGTAGGATCCACAAAGTGCTTCAAGTCCATTTGGACACAGGTACTGCCATGCAGTGTGAAAGGCAACACATAACAGTGCATAAGGATTTTTTTTTTTTGTCTCTCAATAAAATAAGGAACATCAGCAATGAAGCAATCATTCAACTTAAGACCTTTCATTATCGCCATTAATTAACCTGTCTTCACCACAAAGTTACCAAGGTACCAAGTGCTGGGTCACTCAAGCACTGAACATAAATTCCCAGAGTAGAGCAGGACAGTGAAAGTCAACTGTAGCTGGAAGACACATTCAACCACTGGAGAACACAGCGGAGACTAGTCTAGCTAAGTGCATAGTGTTCTCTAAAGAGCTGGGTCTTTAGCTGACTTTTGAAAGCAAGGAAGGACTCTGCAGAACACATGGAGTTGGGTAATTCATTACACCCTTTAGGGACAACAGAAGAGAAGGATCATGCTAATGATTTAGGGGCCTGTGCTGGAAGCACCAGGTGCCTTTCTGTGGCTGAGCGTGGTGGGCAAGAAGGGGTCAATCAGGCCCATAGAGATTTTCTGACTGTGATAGGGAACCCCAGTAGCAATGATGTGCTAAGAGGGCTTGTTATGAAATAAATAGTTCAGTTTATCTGAAGTGGGGTTATATAAGGAACCTGTCAATAGAAGTTGCCTTAGTCATAGGGCATGCAGGCCAGCTCAGCCCTTTTGTTTAGAGACCATGAAGAGAACCATCTGGGTTACCGACCACACTAGACAGGGTCAGCTGTACCATGTCATTAAGCTAATTTTAAGAAACTTCAACCTAAAATCTAATTTTGTTGTACTTGTACGCACTACTTAAAAAAATTCCACAAAACCTTGCTTTTCTCTTAGGAAACCCACTAGTTTTGGCTATGTTCTCAACCTTGACACATAATTCTTGTGCAGCTGATAGTGTCTGAATACGATATTTTTACGTCATAACTTCATAGAAGCCATTTGCATTATCAGACAAGTCAGAATTGTGACTAGAGTAAAAGAAGAGAACAAAGTAAAATGGATGTGGACGTGTGTAGTTATGGATGAATGTTCATCAGTAGTAGGCCAAAATAAGGCCAACACCAAATATTAACCCATCACATGGCAATCTATTTTTTCATTTATCTCAAGGGTATACATTCAGGCCAAGGCCAGCTGTGAAAACTGGCAGCCACATGCCTTCATTAAAAATATATCTGTATGCAGTTGTTGTCATTTCTGGCTCTGCTGGAGCAGCACAATAGACAGTACATGTATTCAAGGGAACAGTCAGCTCTCCAGGTAGAAGTACATTAAAATGTATCCATCTGATCATGTCTTTGCTTTAGGATGCTGTCAAACTGGATGAGTGAACAGAGACATCCTTTCTCTTTGGGAATGTAGACAGGGATCACCACAGAATCAACTGAGACAGATGTCCCCTCTTTAACAGTTTGATCACTCACTGCATCCAGCCAGATGGAAAATGTAAACAGCTCCACTCTGGAACCAGCTTTAAATAATACTTAATCAAAATTAAGTAAACAAAAAAAATAAAATAAAATAAAAAATAAACAAAACAACAGCTATTGCATGAATACGTTGTGATTTTTGGAGCTCTTCATGGTAACTGGCTGCAGTACAGACGTTTTCTGTGGGCTGTGTACTGACTTGAGGGACCTTTGCTGAAAGAATCGCTTTACCTGACAGATCATGTCTTGGCTTCTTGGAGTACAACAAGGCAGCACCCATCAAAATGGTACTCTAACTTCATATCTCACAATCAGAGCAGATAGAAATGCGTATTCTCAATAGAAATGATTCCCAGAATCATTTTGCCAGCCAGCTGATTGCTGAGTGGGATGCCAATAAGTGGCCCAAGTACCACTTATTGTCAACAATACTACTTTGCTGCCAATAAGTGGTATTTAGGCCTTGTCCACATGGAGACGAAAACAATATATTGCTGTTTTGTTTTGAAAAGGTTTTCCATAAAGACAGCATGATTTTAGGAAATATCTGTGTAAACGCAAAACCACTAAAAACCACTAAAAACAACGTAGTACATATGCCAACCAGTAAGCTGCCCCAGAAATGCACCAAAAGGCAGAAGAAGAGTAGTGAGCATAAATGTTGTTTTGGCCGGACTCGCACAGGTGCCTCAAGAGAGTTACGCTGTGTGTGATGAAATCATTTTAAGAAAGTTGTGGATAGAGATTCACACAGAGATGAAACGGTAGTCATATACAGATTTATGCACTCTGGGACCTGTTTTCGAAAAGTATAATTTACAGTCACTCCAACAAAAAAACTTACTCTTTACTCCTGAATTCGTCTTCTTGTGGATGAGGCGTTGGACTCATATTGGACTCATTAAAGAGGAAACTGTATTCAGACTACTTCAATTACAACCTGAATGCTTGAAAAAGGAATGTACTGCTTGCAAAAACGACAAAGTGACTCAGATACCAAGAACTGGACCAGTGCCATGTAGCAAACCAGATTGGCGATCATAGTTAAGGATTTTGGCCAATCAGATTTCTGGAGGTAGAGCCACCCCTTACTCTTTCTCTGAACACACCCCTGGACCTAAGACCTAAACCTTATACAATGCTGATGTTTTGGCTGAGGATGCAAATGACAGGCTTGGTCCTCTGTCACTGAACAGGCCTACCATCAGCCACTTGTTGAGTGGCTTTAGGTCCTAGACTTCTGAGTATGTCATGTAGCTTTCCCCTGCATTAGTGTTAAATAAATGAGACATCTGGTGAGCCATCGCCAGCAATTAAGTCGCGAGCAGAACTTGATTTGATATTTCGTTTAACCGTGACCTTGGAGCCAAGAGATTTACAGAATGTTAAAACCTCCACTACTGGTCTTTAATCATTTAAATATTCATTCGCAACTCAATGTCCCATCACAGCTTCACCTTTACCCAACCAGCAAATCACTTCAGAGCTTCCTGCATGTAAATTTTAATCCTGACTCATCCCAACACAATCCTGTGCCAGAAAACATCCCTCATTCAACACCTGTATGTAAACAACTGTGTTGCTGTTCTTAGTTTCTCAATTTGACAAGGTCATGTTTAGGTAAAAAGCATTAATAATCAGAAAGCAAAGCTGAGTGGGTTTACTCTCAATTGTAGATGCTGCATAAGTAATTTATCAATTCTGCACAACCTGATGGATGGTTCTGCCTGCAGCACATAGTGTTAGACACACATAAACAAGACACTAAGGTAGGGTACTACGTACTTTCCATTAGCAATCACCAATGCCATTACACATGTGATGAAAATAGCATTACTGTGCAGAAGCTGAACAGCAACATGAAGTATGGAAAGTGGTGTGTACACAACCTGTGAGGCGGTGGGTGCATCCTATGTAGACTCATTCACCATCATTGATGTGAAAGCCTAGATAATGAAACCTCCACTCATGTCTCTTTAGTTTTCTACAAAAACCACAGCGCAGTAACATTTACAGGCAGGGTTTCACAGCACATAATGAAACAGCATTTTTGTAACCTGTTTTATTTGCTGAAGGGTTAGTTTGTAGTATGCGGATAGCATTGCTACACTGAAGATTACCTGGACTGTAATGTTGGATAACATGACAGCAGCTACATGCTCCCAAACCTGTTTTTCACTTGGTGTCGCCAATCAGATAAAAAGAAAAGTGAACATTTCAGTCAGACACAGAAAATGTTCATCATTGAGCGAGAAAAAGTCACTGAACAAACATTAACATAAAATATTACGCAACATACTCTGGAGTTTGGAGAGCTGTCTGACTCTGTATTTCGGCTGGGGTGAATGTTTTTGCAATACTGAGCCAAGGTGTGGTAGTTGACATTAAAGTCCTTTATTGTACTCCAGATTGATTTATTAGCTAGGGTCACCTGCCTGACTGCCCTCAGCATCACGTCAGGTACTACACTGCCATGTTCTGTTTTTCTTTTGTAATTTCTTACCATGTCTTCTCGCTTTCTCCTCTCCTTTAAACCACTCTTTTCTCTATAAAATTAAGTCAAAATTTCATCATGACAACTGCTGATAAGCAGACTCTCTTTGTTAATTTTCATCCCTTTTAATCATGTGACAACTAACCCTAAAATGACTGAGACATGTTGACCCAAACTACCATGTTTGCTAATTAGCGCTCTAGCTTAGAGTTAGTTTAAAACAGAACAATGACTGAGCTATGTCAGGATGACTTAATCTCTCCTCTAACAAGTCCACATGTGTCACTGCTAGAATTTTTATCTGGAAGAAGCTTATTTTAAAATATATTAAGTTCAATTTTTTTACTTTGGGTTGTGCAAAATGGTTAATTGGCGCTCCATTCAGCTCACAATGTGCTCTTCTCTTCTCAGACAGGACACGACCCCTGACTATGTAAAGAAACAAAACTAGTATTCCACTTTTTAGTTGCGCCCTCTGGTGGCAAAGATAATTGCAATGTGACAACTTACCCATGTGACAACAAGCCCCGGTCTCCCCTATTTGATGAAATCAATCAACTGGGAATGAATCATGAGCATAAAACATTTCAACATTAAGAGCAAGACTTCACGCAGTTTTCTTTTAATGTGTTTATATCAGTTGATTTCTGAGAGTTTCTACCAACTTTTGTCCTCCCTTTAGGATGCATAAACCACAACAATGATTTCAATCTTATGTCTTAACATTAAACATTACTTATGGTTATTAGGATGTGAGTTAAAACACTGAAATACAAGGAAAAGTTGGGGAAACTGTTAATGATAACATCAATTTACAAAAATCTCCACAAATTCTTAAAACATCAGTCTTTTTGTTCTTCTGTTGGTCTTACTTTATTTCATGTTCCTTTGAGTAGGGTGTATTTATTTACGTGTTTTGAACAGTAATAGAAACGCTTATAACTCTCCTTATTATCAAGAAGTAAAACAGATTCATTGCTTGCATACAAACTGTAACCTAAGGTAACTTAATCTCATTAGTCCTGGTCCTGGTCAGAACGCGATATGAATGTTTTAGTCTGCTTGTTTAAATCTGCAGATGTAATTTGTTACCTGTTTTGTCCTTCATCCTACCCCTGCCTCCTGCTCATCAGGTGTGGGGTCTAACACCCACGAGGTCTGTATGTGTTAAAGACTATAGAATTCAGCACAGCGTCCTCACCACACCTTTTGCGTATTTTGCGCGCACCTTTATCTCCAAGTCCCCAAAAGCCCTCTAAACCCCATGCAGCACAAATACGATTATCTCCAAGGTGCCGGTTTTGTGTCAAAACGAATTAATCTTCACCCCTGACGGACATGCCGGGAAACTTTGATGTGTCTACAGCTATCAGAGTGTGAATTCGCTCTGGTCCAATCATCAGGCTGGTGAGAAGAGCATCGTCGACCGCGCGATTGAGCATTGCGCGTTCACGTGGAGACTATAAACGGACGTGGCGCGCAGAGCTGTGAGTAATCGAGGAGGGAGGAGAAGATGATTGCATCCCCTGCACCGTGGGAGATAACCTGGCATGACGAAGAGAAGAAAAAAATCTTCATCACCAACTTTTTCCTTCCTTTCTTTTTGTAATACATAGCTATTTTAACTTCACTGCATGGTGCTCTGTGAGCAGGAAAGTTCAGCCATGCAGCTGAATGAAAGTGGATTTCAAACCTCGGCTCCAGAGCTGTGTAAGCAGCAAATTTTACTGGAGGACAATGTTGGAAACTGCAGCGGGGGATCCACCAGCAACCTGTCGCTGCACTGCTGGCTGCAGCTGCTGACCAGGGACTCCATCATGGAATTTCAGGGAGACAGCTCCAGCCTGGTGGTGCGTGTGATGATAGCGTGTGTCTACTCTATAGTCTGTGCACTGGGGCTGGTGGGGAACTCTCTGGCTCTGTATCTGCTGCACTCACGTTACAGGCAAAAGCAGTCATCTATCAACTGCTTTGTTATGGGACTGGCTATCACTGACCTTCAGTTTGTACTGACTCTACCATTCTGGGCGGTGGACACAGCTCTAGACTTCCGCTGGCCATTTGGACGTGTGATGTGCAAAATCATCAGCTCCGTCACCACCATGAACATGTATGCCAGTGTCTTCTTCCTCACAGCAATGAGCATGGCACGTTATTACTCCATCTCTTCTTCTCTGAAGATGCACAGCCGGAGGGCAGCGGCTTCCAGAGCCAAGTGGACAAGCCTGGGGATCTGGGCTGTGTCTCTGTTGGCCACATTGCCTCATGCCATCTACTCCACCAGTGCCCAGGTGTCAGATGAGGAGCTCTGCCTTGTACGCTTCCCAGATTCAGGCAGCTGGGATCCACAACTTCTTTTGGGTCTCTACCAGCTGCAGAAAGTCCTCCTGGGGTTCCTTATCCCTCTGATCATAATCACTGTCTGCTACCTGCTGCTGCTGCGCTTCATCCTCAGCAGACGCATCACAGGGGCTGGGGGCCCAGAGGTGGAGCAGAGCCGGCAAAGCCGTCGCTCCAAAATGACAAAATCCATTGCCATTGTGGTTCTGTCCTTCTTTCTGTGCTGGCTTCCCAACCAGGCGTTGACCCTGTGGGGAGTGCTCATAAAGTTTGACCTGGTCCCCTTCAGCAAAGCTTTCTACAATGCACAGGCTTACGCCTTCCCCCTGACGGTGTGTCTGGCTCACACCAACAGCTGCCTCAACCCCGTGCTTTACTGCTTAATCCGCCAGGAGTTTCGAGCAGGTTTGAAGGAGCTTCTTCTTCATGCCACACCGTCCTTTAGAGGCCTAACTCATCTGCTGCGCCACAAGGCCAAAAAGACAGAGGCACCACCTGCTCTGGTGCTCGTCCAGATGGATGTTTGAGTTGAGCAAACTGAGCCACACAGTGGAGGGGCAAGAGAGAGAGAATGACTAAATCACAGAAAGACCTCCTTAAAGTGTGACTAATCTTGATTTAAAACCTGGTTATGCATTCGCCTCCACCCTCTCAACACAGAATCTTTAATATCTTCTACCTGGATTTGAAAACATGATCAAAATGGACTAACCAGTGGGCTGTGCCCCATTTTCACCATATGATTCAAGGTCCTTTCTGCTGTAAATGTGTATACCTGCTTTACAAGGTACCTGTGTCACTGTGTTATGTTTCCTCACTGCTTTAAGCCTCTGACATGCTTTCTGGAAAACAGAGATAATCAGTGATAATGAGATTCAGACTGTTGTACCACTGAGAGAACCTCATTTTGATTTCAATTAGGCACAGTATCAGTTCGACGAATGGCAAGAGCTATTATTTAGTCTCTTGAATGAAACTTGAACTGTAAAATAATGAGGCATTACTCAGCTAGAAACAAGAAAGACCCGCAATGAATATGTTCAAGGAAGTGTAATAAGAATAAGATATCTAAAAATTCTCAATGTGGTGTTGTGTCTATCTCCGTTCTTTAGTGCATTTGTGTACATTGTTTCACACAGTGAGAGCAAACAGGAAGAAACTGAAGCCCTAACCAGAGATGAAAATGATGGTAGTGGTGAATGTAAGCACTTTTTTTCAGTATTAGTAGTATTTTGCCTAAAACATTAAGAGCAAAAAGATTAATTTGAACGTTTAAGAAGATAGATAAAGCATTGTTAAATAGTTGTGCCAAAAGCATGAGGCGTTTGAAGGAAGGTTAACGTGCGAAATAAAACAGGAATAAAAATCTCAAGAATGAAACTCCTTTTTTGTGTGTTTTTTAAAGGCATCAAGATTCAAAGTCTCAAAGGATACAGCATGATGATATAGATTATTATGTTTATTACCCATTGTTGTAGAGAGGCGAGATACAAAAAATGCTGAAATTACCTCAAACAGAAGCATTTACAAAAGTTATGCTCCATGGTGCTCTGTTCAATGATACTTAAAAACTGATGTAAAGGTAATCTGTAAAAAAAACTGACTTGCTGTATCATTTTGGGACATTTGGGAATTGAATGTCATATGAAATAAAGATTTGACTCAAAGCTGTTCATTTGAAGTATTTGGACTAATTGGACCAAGCTAAACAGAATTATTCAAGTATATGCAAAAACACGGGTGAATGGATTAGAGAGCTGAGCCTCTGAGAGTCTAAAAATCCGATTAGTGCATCTGTAAACACTCCTCCACTGTTAGAGAGACAGAGTCAGACAATACACACACTCTTCTTTATTAATGGGATTTCATTTCTTTGTTTTGTGTTTGCACAGCACCAATTCAATCACCAACAAAATCAGCTCTGCACTGCATGAATAATCGACTGAGAAGGGAGCTCTCAACGATGTGACGACAATTGGTGCCAAAAAAAGGAGACAGCATTTCACCATCACCCCCTGATGAGTTAAAGGTCGAGGAGTGTTTGTACTTTTTATCAAAGACAAAACTAACAAGAGTTTCTTGCTTTACTATCAACACATCTTGACACACTATTAGGAGGTACTCAATTTGTTGGAGGCGTTCTTTTCAGTATTATGCAACATCAATCATGAAGAAACAAGAATAAAAGTCATAAACCTACTTTTTTCCCTTGTATTTCTTCCACTGTAACACATTTCGGCCCAGTGGAAAAACATGTATGGGCAGCATTTGTAAGTGGTAGGGATGAGATCTCACACGACTGAAGATTCCTTGTCAGGGTATTACTGGTCTTTTGATATCAGAGCACTGTCAGGCACTGATGTGCTGGCAGAGGACTGCGCTGTTTATTTAATGTTAAACACCCCAGACTGCGGTTTGTTTTATACACTGACAGACCTCATAGGTATTTAAACAGACAAACATCAAGACTGAGATCAAGATCAACCCATCTGCACTTACGATCAAGTCATGCTAAAGAGGTCAGCTGTGGCTCAGCGGTTCAGATGGTTGTCTCTCAATCAGAGGGTCAGAGGTTCCCCCTGTTTTATTTGACAACTCATGATTCCAAAAGATAAGAATACTGCTTGGATGAACTAAGAAGTATTCTTATCTTCTGGACTAGGGTCCCAGCCACAGCACTGGCCACCAAACATCTCTTTAATTTTGCCTAATTTCTTTCCCAAAGAGACTAAACACAACTCACCCACTCTCTTCCAGCAGCCGCTTGTTTGTAGGAAGAGGTCGAACAAGTCTATCGACTGCAGCGGGGTGACGCAGCTCAAGGAAGAGCCTTTATGATCATTTCCTCATGGAAATATAATCAGATCAAGATGCTAAGGCAGAAGAACTACTGCGTCTGCAGTGCAAAATGATTCATATGGTGATTATTACTTTAAGGAAATGATAAAGAAATTATCATAAATGTTCTTCCTTGAGCTGCGTCACCCCACTGCAGTCAGTTTTGGACTCGTCTTCATTCATCTCTTGAGGGGTGTCTAACTCGGTGTTATGGTGTGTTTGACCCTAACTTAATTTTACGCCGGAATAGCCCTTTAAAGAACTGCAGTTTTTAGCATTTCCACCTCAACTTCATTACTCCAGACCAGAGGTTGCTGCTCAGGGAGGTCACACTTGAAGATATTTCCAGGACAATATCATGGGTGCAATAAATGTTGTTAGTGAGAACAGGCCCCCATCGTGATCTTATAGAAGGCTTGGTATACAACCAATTGATTCTGTGGCCCGGCATGAGAGGATTATAAAACTAGTAAGCCGTACATCATGGTTTATTTTTCATAAGAATCCATCGCGGGGCTTATCTTTCATCCCCTTTTCCATTGTCACTCTCAGCGGTGGAGGATCACTTTGTAATTATCCATACCTGCACAGTAAGTGGCTCCAGCATGTTGTAAACCCTTGCAGTCAATCCCCAGCACACAGCTCAGGATTAGCCTTGTTCCAACAACAGCTCACAACAACAGCCAGACAGCAAAATAAATTAAAAAACAAAAACAAAACATGCTTCCTTAAGTGAAAATGAGTGAGTGCCATATTGAGGAAAACTGTTCAGCACTTATGTGTAAACGTAAGACAGTAACTTGAGACAGAAAGTGTGATACTTCTTTTTTTTAAAAACTACATTATAACCTATTTTTGTGCATGTGCAGTTTGTGTGTGTGCATGTTTGTGTGTACACGAGTTTGTTTAGCCACCTAAACCAAATTACTTTTCACACTCTCACTTCCCAACTGCCCAGTCTGTCTCTTTAAATGTAACACCTCTGTATTTGCCTTTTTCATAAACCCTGCTGGAAGGAATTTGATAAGAAAAACTGAACAGAACATGAAGAGTTAGAGTCACATACACTGTTACAGTGATTTATTACTTCTGCAACTACTATTATTACAGTCCATTTCTAAAGACCTGCATTTCTTTTTAGTTTAGTTGTTACTGCCAATATTAGATATATTTCTACCACTCTGACAGAGCTACTGTAAGTTTGTATCATTTGTCCTGGAAAAATAATTTTCCTCTTCATCTACCTGTGTTTCTGGGTGACTGTCTCTATCCATCTCTCTCTAGACCTCCCTCATTACTGCTCTGTCTTTCTGACCTGTTCGTTACAGATGACTGTTCTCGGTTAAAAAAAAAAAAAGTCCACGCCACTGTCCTTGTAGCCCTTTAAGGATGTTCTTGTCATGTGGACCTTGACATTTTTGTGTGAAGTGATGTTCATATTTTGTGGCATTTTAAATCCATAGTTCCATTTAAACGCTTGAAAAATACCTTTCATACTTGTCATCGAACATGCCCACCAGGGTTTGGTCTAAGCTCACAGTATTGCCATCTGCTCTGACTCTGCTCCTGACACATACTTGTGCACATGATCACACAAAAACTACAAGCTTTTTTTTTCCCCTACCATCCGCAATATCAGTGTCTTCATCAATTAGAATCAATTACACATCCAATATACTGTACAGACATGTGTTTAAGCAGCAAAGTTAAGTAAGATCACCCTTCTTTGATGTAAAGCGCTTAGGACTTGAGTTATCATTAGATCCTGTCAGATACTATCTGTGTAAAATAAGCTCTACATAATTAATGAAGTTACACTGCTGTGCCTCCTGCTTCAGTGTAGATGTCTATTGATCTGGGTAATCCCAGGTTGTTTCTGATGTGCAAAGGAGTTGTATCAATGGATATGGCACGGGTCGATGCGTGTGTTATGACCTGCATTTCTGTTATTTGCTCCTATTGTGCTGTGCATTTCTATCTCTTTCTGAGTATTTGTTTTCTGATACGTAAGTTTTAAGACCTTTGTCTCTTGTTGTTTTAACCTTTGTTCCTCATTGGAGAGCATTCAGTCTGCTGCTTTACTTAATATGTGACCTGTTTTGCTGTTTTTTTTTTTTTTTTGGTGGAGTGGGGAGAGTGGGGGTCACATGTCGTGTTATGTCCAGGTTTCCCCTAGGTTGGGACATCACAGCATCACATTACTTTCCCATTCCCACATGACTGTCTTGTTAAATAGGAAGGCTTAAAAGCCACTTTGTGGTTAGCAACGTAATAGCCTGGAGGTACACCTGGCTCTTAAAGGGAATATGAGCTTTATTGTACACAGTGCTTTTAAAACCCTTAAACTAACGCTAAGCATTTAAAGAACCTGTGAGGAATTTTTGGTTTGTTTTGATTTGTGTGCCCCGATGGACAAAAGTGCGCGTCTTATCTGCTTATTTTGTTCTATAAGGCATGTGAGCGATAAGTCTTTCAATCAAAAATCTCAACCTGCTTTCTTTTATCTGTCCCTGAACCTTTGATGTAGGAAATGTAACCTAATAAAACAGCTTTTGACATCCTGCGGGTAATCGCTTCATCTGACACTAACCTCCAGCAGACTGTTCCAGGCATTAAAAATTACAAAATAAAACTTGACAATCATGTCAATGTTGGTGTTGGGTTTTTTTGTAAGTCATGAAGAGGCAGCAGTATTGATTCAAACCTATCCCATGACAAGAAAAGACATACTACATAAGTGCTACACATAGACTGTATATACTATGGACAACTTGCTCCGCCTTCCGTCATTATACAAATTTGACGCTGAATTGCTCTCGGTATTTCCGGGATATTCTTCACTTTCTGGAACCACCACTCGCGCAGTAGCATTGTACACATTTGGCGGGAGAGTCGCTGTGATGACACTTGGTTTACAGCGTATCCCCCGGATGAGCTACGCAATCTTCTTACGCCCATAGGCTGTATCAAGTGTCAATTAGGAAAAACATGAACCCCCTTACTTTTACCCCTAACTTTTGAAAATAGAGCTGCACAGAAAAAAAGAGGACTCAAGAACGAACCAGTCTTACATCTCAACATCGCAAGCAGGGGAGAGGAAAATTTATATTCTAGGTAAGAAGTTTCTAAAGTTTGTCCACAGCTCCATAGGGATTGCTGGAGGAGGCGGGATTTATGACTTATACTGCAGCCCGTCACCAGAGGAGGCAGATGATGTTCATTCTATCTACAGTCTATGGTGCTACTTCCCTGAGTGATTTTGTGTCTCTGTAAGAATTATTCACATCCGTGTGGTCAAACTATCTCAGAAAGGTCAGACAGTGCTACTTATCTATCTTCACCTTTCTGTCTTTTCTGTTTGAAAGAAGTATTATTTGATCATAATCTAGTCTAACGCGTCTAAGTGCACTGCTTTAACAAGAGCAAACAGACTTTCATAAGTGGGTTAATTGGCCTATGATAGTGCACTTCGCTGCCCTTCATGTCTGGCTGCTTGATCAATACTCACACAAGTGTCCCCTGGGAAAGGAAGCGGTTGTTG